TTCTCTGACCTCTAACTCTCACCCTCCTCCCTCCGTCTTATACGGGCCTATGGTGACATTGGGTCCACCCGTGTAATCCAGGGTAACCTCTCCATCTCAAGATAATTAACTTGGTCACATCTTCAGCATCTCTTTTTGCTGGATAAGATAACATAGTCCCAGGTTCCAGGGATTAGGACGTGATCATCTTTTGGGTGGGACAGTAGCATTATGCTATTACATCACCTCCCAGGCCTCCTTGGTCCTTCCCAGACAGAGGTAGATAGGAGGCCTTGGCAGTATAGGATGGGTTGAGCAGGGTGTTGGAGGGAGGTCTGGACTAAAAGCATCCAGTTTGTTTCTGTCTGCAGTTTAAATCCCAACTCAGTCACTTATCAGCTCTAGACAATTGCATATTGCTTCTAAGCCTCAATATTCCCATCTGTGAAAGGGAGATGAAATTCACAGCCACGGCTCAATTAAAAATCCCCATTCTGGCATTTACTTGCATTTACTTTGGGCAGTCAGGATAACTTTTTAATTTCCTTGTTGAAATAGCACTAATGATCATGGCTGATATGCTACGTGTGTGTATACTCTGTAGTGTTTGTATTAATGGGATAATATAGGTCAAGGGTCTGTTTGACAGTAGTGCTTGGCACATGGTAACAACAGACAGCAGATCTACTATTATTTTTCTTCTTTCTTTCTTTTCTTTATTATTATTATTATTATACTTTAAGTTCTAGGGTACATGTGCACAACGTGCAGGTTTGTTACATATGTATACATGTGTCATGTTGGTGTGCTGCACCCATTAACTTGTCATTTACATTAGGTATATCTCCTAATGCTATTCCTCCCCCCTTCTTCTCTTTTTTCTTTTCTTTCTTTCTTCTTCTTTTTTTTTCTTTCAGAGTTTCGTTCTTGTTGCCCAGGCTGGAGTGCAATGGCACAACCTTGGCTCACTGCAGCCTCAGCCTCCCAGGTTCAAGTGATTCTCCTGCCTCAGCCTCCTGAGTAGCTGGGATTACAGGTGCCTGCCATAAACGAAAATAATTTTTTTTGTATTTTTAGTAGATACAGGGTTTTACCGTGTTGGCCAGGCTGGTCTCGAACTCCTGACCTCAGGTGATCCTCCCACCTTGGCCTCCCAAAGTATTGTGATTACAGGTGTGAGTCACCGCACCCAGCCATATTTTTCTTATATCTTATTTTCTTCTTTCTTCTCCTCCTCTTCCTTTCCTTCATTGTCACCCATTTTTCCCTGTATCTCTGTGTATATCCTCACGTATTTTTCCCGTGCCTAGCTCATCCGTCAGGGAGCTTTCAAATTCACCAGGTCAGAGACTGATTTTTCATCAAGCAGCTCTGTGCGGTGTGGATGCTTTGTTAATGTTGGTTTCTTCTGTTGGGCCTTCTGTTTGTCCCTCTGACTGCTAAGGTGATTCCAAAGACCAGGGCTCCTGGCTTTTCCCTCTTTTGTGCAAAGCCCTTTCTGGGCAGATGCATTTCTCAGAAGACATCAATAGCTAGACCTGTGCAAGGGGAGAAGAAACTTCCCTCCTTCCGCCTCTTTCTCTTTCTGTGTACTAGAAATGAAAATATCTACGGAGAAATGTCTATTATTCTTCTCCTGAGACCGTAGGCACCAGGGATGCACAAAATTCTGCCTCTGTGTCTGCATGACTTGTTATCAGAAAATTAGAGAAGAAAAGAAGCTTTTGTTCAGCTATGGAGACATCTTACTAGGTGCTTTGATTGTTAAACAGAAGTTTCTGTTTTGGTTTAATTGCTGTAAATGTTGTTTGTCTTCTCTGCTATGATAAGCCCTGGATTTTCATATATTTTTTCCCCTTCCCTTTCAACAGTTTTCCGTTGCTTTAAGGCTTGCATTGGCAAGTTTAATAAAATCCAAATGAAGAAAGCAAAGAAAGGATCTCAAAGTTCAAATCTTCACGCCCACGTAGGAAGCCGCGTGGAGGTTATTATTGCATGAGACTAATGATGCTGCAGCCGCTTAATGTAATTGACAGAAATCACCCCTTCAACCAGATATTGGGAAATGAGACCAAACTACTAAACTTAATTACATCTAGTTTTTGAAAAGGAGCTATAATTGAGAATAACTGAATATTAGGCTGTGAACCTAATAGTGAGATGTGCTTATAATAAAAGAGGATTTGTTCTCTGCTGAGTTGAGCCTCAGAAGCACCACCTGGGGGATTTTTGGTGGAGGGGTTGGCGGTAGTAAGGGAAGAAGCTGGCTAGAGAAACAGAGAAACATCTAGATCAGGAATTCTCTACCTTGGTGCTATTGACATTTTGGGCTGTTTAATTCTTTATAATGGGAGTCTGCCCTGTGCATTATAAGATGTTAAACAGTATCCCTGCTGTCTCTCCACCAAATGCTGGTCACACACACACACACATATACACATACACACACACACAGAGTGTGAAAACCAAAAATGTCCCCAGACATTGCCAGATATCCCCTAGGGGGAAAAAGCACTCGTCTGGTTGAGAACTGGGGTGCAGGGGCTCCTGGAAGACTTTCAAACAATTGCACAGTTCCTCATTGAGCATCTGCAGGTACCTGACTGTGTGGCCTTTAGCAAGTCACTGCATTTCTCTGAGATCCTTTTGTCTTCCTTTGCACAATGGGAATAATGATAGCCTGACCGCACAGAGGAATAGCTTCCAGGTATAACATGCATAGCATAATGCCTAGCACCTATTGAGTAATCAGTAAACTCGGAGTTTTTATTATAATAATCTTGGATTCAGCAAACGTGTATTAAGTACTTTGCTTCAGGCACTATGCTTTGAGATGATGATGGAAAGATGAGATGTGGTTCCTGCTCTTGCAGAGGTGGAAAATGTAGGCGGACCTGTTGGTACAATCTTATTCTTCACCCGTGGCAGACATTGCTAATCAATTTCAGTGCCCTTTCCTGTTGAGCCTCACAATCCATTTTAACACACTTCTTTGGGCAGCCACTACTAGTGGCGCCTGAAATGAAACCCATTTAGCACTCCTAGTTTTGTAGATTTCCTGGTGAGGACGCTGACCCTTCCTCTCCAGCGCAGTCCTCCCATTCCCACCCACCCCTGGCACTGAAGAAAGCACCTTAGGGAGTTAATGGTGGGATCCCTCCTCCCACATCTGACTTCAGTCCCCAAAAGGGATAGGAATAGAAAAATGCTCTCTTAAAATTTTTTTTTTCCTCTTATCTTTTCTATTTCCCTCAGAAATGGAAACAAGTAGTAAAATGGGCTTGAGGTTGATGACATTTAGTTTTTACTTAAACTAAAGGAATCCCACAGGCTATAATTCTGATTGATACATCATGCTCTTTCCCTCCGAGGTTTTCTCTGCCCTTTGAAGCTTGGGAAATCATTAGCTCTCTCATAAAGGATCCCAGCTTTACAAGGGCAGAACTGGGATTTCTGGAAACAGCTTTCAGATGGCTGTGGACGGTGTCATTAGACAGAATAGAGGAGCAAGTAGGTTGGGGGTTAAATGCTCTGTGATAGGTTCTGACATGCCCGGCTCCCCGAAGAGAGTGCCACTCCATAACAATTGCTGTGAAAAATGAGGCATGCATTTGCAGCTCCAGACACAGGGAGCTGGCTCCATCCATCTGGCCTGAGAAATGAGAACTGGCGTGTAGGGTCAGGCACTTGCTGCTTCTTTCCCTGTCTGGTGGAGATTCCACAGGCAACACTGGTTACTTGTTGCCATTGTTTTACAGCTCTCTGGGGCCTGCAGGCTCTGCCAGAAGGATGGTGTGGGCAATGGGGAGTAGGGCAGAGGTGGCACCTGGTGCACAGGGTCTGTGGGAGAACCAGAACTCAGTCTGTAATGGAGTGATAGTACAGTTCGTTGAGATTTAGCCTAAGGGATGAAACAAAAGACCAGATGGGGACAGGCATCTCATCTGAAGTTTGATTTTGTTTTGTTTCTTCCTCATTCCCATTCATCAAGCATCCACCCACCCACCCACCTGTCTATCCACTCACCTATCCGTATTTCCATTCACCCGTCCATCCATCCATCCATCCATGCATCCATCCATGCATCCATCCACCCATCCATCCATCCATCCATCCACCCACCCACCCATCTATCCATCTATTCATCCATCCACCCACTTACCCACCCACTTATCCATCCATTCATCTACTCACCCACCCACCTATCCATCCATCCATCCACTCACCCACCTGCCTATCCATCCATCCTATCCATCCCACCCATCTATTCACTCATCCATCCACCTACTTACTCTTGCATAACTTTAGGTGGTGCATGGTTGGACATTATTAAAATAATTATCTATAATGTACAGAAATTGATATGGCTTTCCACATAGGGTTTGCTTTTAAAATAAGTGTATTTAGCCAAAAATATTGGAGTCAGCCTAAAATGTTAAATAAATAACTTGGCAGTTGTATAGAGGCATGGCAGAAATGAGAAAAGCATCACGTGCCTGGCTGTCACTGGGAATCCACTGCACTCTAACTTTCATGCAAAGGCATGTGTTCATTTCAGTTTCCTCGAACCCAAAATCACAGCTGCTGTGCAGCCTCTAAGGTATATGACCTAGAGCAAGCGACTTCCCCTCTCCAAGCCTTAGTTTTTTCTTCTGTAAGGTGAAGATGCTAGCAACCCCTTTTCTTGGGGTCGTTTGGAGAATGTAGCAAGCTAAGGCTTGTGAATCACTTAGCACATGCCTGGCACACACCAAGCACTCCGTAAATGGAAGTGATGCTCGCTTTTATTCATTCCACAGCTGGCTTCATTTAAGGCATCCCCTGGCAGCCCTGCCCAGGGGACCTTGCGTGAGTTGAGGTGACAAGCTAAACCAGTGTTCCACTTGGCTTTGGTTTAGCAAGTGATGGCAACTGGTGTCCTTCCTGAGGGTGACGAGCCCCCCCTTTTCCTTCCAGGGCTTGCCAGAGCCCACCCCAGTCTCTGACCCTTTGTGTAACAGGCTGTTCTCTTTTCTCTTTAGACACACTGTCTGTGCCACGTTGGTCCCCGCAGATCCCTCGCAGAGATCTCGGCAACTCCATCAAGCACAGGTAGGCTGGATTCCTGTGTGTACTGGTGCCTACTTCACAGCCCTGTGAGGGGTGGGGGCTCTGGCCCCTGCCCTGGGGTGAGAGAAGGCTGGGCTATTGAACTCCAGCACCTACATCTCCATGTCCCTTTCTCCTCTGCTAGGCTAAACTTTAAAGTGGCAACCAGGGGACTGAGACATCTGCTTCTTACTAATCTGACCCTTATAAAATTAGCACATAGCAGTTAAAAGCCAGGGCTTTGGAGTCAGACTGACCCGTGTTCCAATCCCAGCTCGTATAGCTTTGCAACCTTGGAAGTTACTTAACCTTTCTGAGGCTCAATTTTTTCGTTAGATAATTCTGCCTACCTATAGGGTGACTGTACAGATTAAATGAGATAATATATGTAAAGTGCTTAGCACAGGGCCTGGCACATAACAAACACTTAATAAACAGTATCATTCTTAAGATTAATGCTTTATGTCCTAATTTTTGGTCTCCTCACCCAGAATACACAAGATTGCAGGTGTCCATTCTCTGGTGTGGCGGAGGTCGGTCCAGAGCTCTAGCCCTGCTGGGTGCATGGAACAGGTGGTCCTCTCCAAGGCTATACCTGCCCTTTTGGGGAGGGGGGTTTGCATATACCAGGCATCCCTTATAAGAAGTCCTTTAACTCCCTGAATTTAGCGTTCCCCACTTCGTCTTGGTAGTTCCAGTCTCCTCACAAGCTTAGCAGGGTGAGTGGGGCAAGTGTGCTCATGGCCATTGGACAGATAGGCAAACTGAGGCCCTGGGAGATTAAGCGATAGGTCGGAAAGCTAATTAGCCTCAGTACTTTGTGTTCTTTTGACACCCTGCTGAGTTTTCCTAGCACCAGGGCCTCTGTGAACTCGCTGGGGGACCCGTTCACTCATTCATGGATTCTTTCCACTTGTATTTACAGAGTTTCTGTGCCACAGTTACAGCCCTGACCAAGACATAAGGCCTGTTCCCTTGGGGAGCTTGTGCTGTAGGGGAGGGTCAGATAGTTAACAGACCACGACAGTATGGTGAGATCAGGGTGACAAGGTAGGGTGATAGCAGGGCCAGATGCATCACCATAGCTGGGGCCATGGCGGAGATGAGCATTCTCATGATGGGGACTCACGGAATGGCATCTCGTCAACAGTTTTTGAAAGAAGTGTGTTGACAGGATAGTTGTTAAGACTGAAATGAGAAAACTTTGGAGGAAGCAGTGAGAAGTGTGTGATAGACACGTCAGTGGTCAGGCCTTGAGCTGCAGAGAGAAGGGCATCAAAGACGAGGGCTTTTCTTTGTATTTTCCTCCTGGCTGCTCTCTGGCTCTGCTCCACCCCTGGATTGGCCACGCCCCTTGATCGACCATGCTCCCTGGACTGGCCCTGCCCCTGGCTCATCCCCAGTTTTGAATTGACTACGCCTCTGGCTCAGCCACGCCCTTGGCTCGGCCACACCCCTGGGTCAGCCACTCCTCTGGCTCAGCTCGGCTCCTGGATTGGCCATGCCCCTGGCTCAGCCCCACCCCTTAGATCGCCCAGCCCCCAGGCTCTCTGGTAGTCCCTAAGATTCAAAAGCTGATGCCCAGAGGAGGGAGACAACCTGTTAATTGTAGGAATGTCTTCCCAGAGGAGCTGAGACTTGGGATGACCTACTACTCTTCAGTCTCTCCCTGTGTTTCTCCCTGGGCTTAATGCCAGGAGGTAGAGAGAACTGGACTCACCCCAGCCTTGGTGAAGAAATGAAATTAAAATCCCATCTGCTGCCATCCAAGTCACTTCAGCCAGAGCTGGGGAAGAGGCAGAGCTGATCCCAAGCACAAGAGAGGGCTGGAAAGGAGAAAAAACTGTCACCCACTGCTTCTGACGCCTGCCCGCCATTCCTGTGTGGCTGGCTGATGAGTGAAATACACGCTCCTTCGCCGCCATTCCCCAGAGCTGCCAAATTCTGCAAAACAGAGTCTGCTAAACTCACTGGCTCTGCTGAAGGGAAAGAAAGGGGCTTGACCAACTCACAAATCCAAAACCAGAGAGGGAGAGTTTTCTTGGCAGTAAGCGTCTTTGCTCAGAATATTGCTATTTGCTTAGATTTGGAGGCTTTGGGCTGTGGCTTATTTTGTTTGGAGAGTGACTGACCCAAATCAGGCAAAACGGTCCAACAGAGGGATGCAACCTTTCCCTCGAAATTCTCCGACTCCAAGTTATATAATCACTTCCGATTTCCCTTTTGACATTCTGAGGCAGTGGAGATTAGATACAACTCCTGCTGACGGTGACACACATTGAAAATTAAAATTAACTGTGACCTGGCAACCTTCAGTACTTTTCTTGGGCCCAGTCCTGCCGCTGCCTCGTATCTCTTGGGGAAGAAAGCACCCTGGCAATATCAAGGGGAGATGTGCCCGGGGAGTTAATCGAATGCACCTCTGCTCCAGTTGGTTTATAGCTGTACACGGGAGACCTCCAAACTGCCCATGTTTGCAGCAAGTGGATGGGGTTGGAGAGCAAGGCGAGCTGATGGTCTGAAATGGCTTTCACTTTGAAAGACTCTTCTCTGCCACTGAAGTTTGGGTTCTCAGGTCTTTCGGGAGGGGAGGGCTCCCTTTGATACTCCCCAGGTGGTGTGACCAGCAACTGATGGGAGATGGTTCAGCGGGTCCCCCAGGAGGCTCCACCTTGCTTTGTAGCTTTCTGCAGGCAGTTCCAGCCCTATCCATTGCTCTGTCCCAGAACTGACCTTGGCATATAGTAGGCCACCAGGCAATATTTGTTGAACAAATGAATGACCCTTATGAATGTTCAAGGTAATAGTATAGTCACAACCCAATTTACTGAGTGCTTACTATGTACCAGGCACTGCACGGAGCCCTTGACATGCCTGACTGACCTCATTTAATCTCCCCAGTAACCTACGAGGTCAATACTGTTATTATCTGGAGTTTACAGATGGGGAAACAGAGGTTCCAGTGGTTTAAGCAACTTGATTAAGTCACACAGCTCGGAAGAAACAGGACTGGAATCCAGGGTTCGTGTGCTTGCTCTTCAAGTGCTTCATCCCTCTAGAGATAGGTCAGTTGCCGTTTCCTTAACCTTGAACATTTTCTGTCTCTTTTCCACAGGTTTTCCACCAAGTACTGGATGTCTCAGACATGCACAGTCTGTGGGAAAGGGATGCTTTTTGGCCTCAAGTGTAAAAACTGCAAGTAAGTGACTGTGCCCTGCGGTGACTTTTTCCAGCACCCAATGTCAGCTAGAACTATGCAGGTCACTGAAACAGCCTTTGGGAGTTTGATTTCTTCACTCTTGTTTGCTTTGTTTTTAAGAAATAGATTTGAAATGCACCTCTACATTTCGGTAGGGGGTCAAGGGAGGGCAATTCTGAATAAGAACCAGAGCTGATGGAAGATGCTGGAAATGCCTAATGCTGTGTGCTGAGGCACAGTGGTACTTCTCGTTTTCATAGCAGCTAAGGCCAGGGGTTGGCACACTTTCTCAAGTTGACCAGATAGCAAATATTTTAGGCTTTGCAGACCATAAGCAGCCATAAACAATACAGAAACAGTCTTGACAGCTTCATTTATTCCAATAAAACTTTATTTGCAAAAACAGACTACAGGCTGGCTGTGGCCCTCAGCTGTAATTTGCTGATCCTGAGTTAGAATTTGCCAAATCCTTTTTTCTCTCTCTGTCTCTTTTTTTTTTTTTTTTTTTTGAGATGGAGTCTTGCTCTGTCACCCAGGGTGGAGGGCAGTGGTGTGATCTTGGCTCACTGCAACCTGCGCCTCCCGGGTTCAACCAATTCTCCTGCCTCAGTCTCCTGAGCAGCTGGGACTACAGGCCTGTGCCACCATTTTTGTAATTTTAGTAGAGACAGGGTTTTACCATGTTGGCCAGGCTGCTCTTGAACTCCTGACCTCAAGTGATCCTCCCTCGTCAGGCTCCCAAAGTGTTGGGATTGCAGGCGGGAGCCACCGCGCCTGGCTCCCAAGTCTGTCTCTGCTTTTTCTTTCTCTTCATGGTACCTTTTTGAACCAGCATTGTAATTCTCCCCATTTTACAGATGTGAAGGCTGAGTCTAGCAATGAAAAGTCACTGTGAAGAAGTGACAGTCAGGACCTGAACCCAGATCCCTAACTCCTTTTCTGCTCACTTTCTGTAGTATCATGTTGGTCTGGAATTTTGATGAGAAAGCCAGACCACCCAAGCTCTGCCTCCCCCAGCTTCCTTTCTCTTCCTCACCCCCATTCAAGGTCATGGCTGGCAAAAGGTAGGGAGGAAGAAGAAGACTGAGACACTAGATATGGGCTCTGGTTTCAAATCCTGGCGCTGCCACTTGGCAGCTGCCTGACCTTGGGCAAGTCACTTCACATTTCTGTCCCTAGTATTTTCATCTGTGTGAAAGGAATAATAATTGATATGGTTTGGCTGTGTCACCACCAAAATCTCATCTTGAATGGTAGCTCCCACAATTCCCACATGTTATGGGAGGGACTCGGTGGGAGATAATTGAATCATTGGGGCGGTTTCCCCCGTACTATCCTTGTGGCATGAATAAGTCTCACGGGATCTGATGGTTTTATAAGGGGAAACCCCTTTTGCTTGTTTTTTCTCATTCTCTCTTGCCACTGCCATGTAAGAAGTGCCTTTTGCCTTCCACCATGATTGTGAGGCCTCCCTGGCCACGTGGAACTGTGAGTCCATTCAACCTCTTTTTCTTTATAAATTACCTAGTCATGGGTACGTCTTTATCAGCAGCATAAAAACAGACTAATATAATTATCATGCCTGCCTTGGGTGGCAATGAGCTTTTGATAACTCAGCACACTTGAGGACATAACACAGTGCCTGGCTTAGTCCAGTCCTTTGTAAGAAATTGCAATGCTTTGCTGTCGGACCTCAATCTCTCCCTCTCTCTCCTTCTGTAAACACGTATTACATACCCCTTCAGGTCCAACACTACAAAATAGTAGCAGTCAACTTTATGTAATAATTACAAATGAACATGCATCTGTTTGCTTTATAGAAGTCATTTAGTTTAAAAGATTCTGAGAATTCCTCTTTCTGCTCTAGGCTTGCTCTACCTTGTCTAGTCCAGGCAGAGGCCTCTCATTTAGGCCCTTTCCGGCCTCCCCACATCCCTGCCCCAAGATAAAAGTGAGATAGTGGCAAGGGCAAGCTCTCACTCTGCCCACTCTGCCCCACCCCTGTCCGTACCCTCCACCTGGCAGTCTCACCTGAGTAATGAAGGTAAGGTTGAGCATCCTTTCCTCCTGGAGTCGTGGGGAGCCTTAAGCCCCATAGTATAAAGGGAAGCACAGGCCAGATGCAGAGTCTTATGCCTGTAACTCCAGCACTTTGGGAGGCTGAGGCAGGAGGATCAGTTGAGCCCAAGAGTTTGAGACCAGCTTTGGCAATATAGTGAGACCCCCATCCATCCACACACACACACACACACACGCACACACACACACACACACACACACACAAAATTAGTCAGGCATGATGGTACATGCCTGTTGTCCTAGCCACTCTGGAGGCTGAGGCAGGAAGATTACTTGAGGACAGGAGTTCAAGACCAGCCTGGGCAACAGAACTAGACCCTGTCTCTACAAAATAAATTAAGGTAAAAAATGAGCCAGGAGTGATGGCACATATTTGTGGTCCTAGCTACTTGGGAGGCTGGGGCAGGAGGATCACTTGAGCCTAGGAACTTGAGGTTGCAATGAGCTGGGATTGCACCACTGCACTCTAGACTAGGCAACAGAGAAAGACCCTGTCTCAAAAAAAAAAAAAAAAAAAAAAATTTAAGGGGAAGCAGGGGCAATAATGACCAAGCATTAGTACTTCAAGGCCACCTTCCTTGCCTTGGTCCTCTGTGAACCTAGGCTCTCAGTGGTCTTTCTGACAACAAAAGGCATAAGGCTAGGCCTTTAGGTCTGGCCCCCGGGCTGGCTGATTTTCTCTGTATACCAGCAGCTCCGAAGACCCGTCTCATCTGTATCTAGTCCTACCACATTCCGAGGAGGTGATGGCAACTCTTACATCCTCATACCTGCCGTGTGGAGGCTTTGAAGTCAGGTAATTAGGTGACAGGGATGCAGCTGGGGTAGCGAGTTCCCAGGCCGTTTTTAGTTCTAGCACTAGACGCAGAACTCAGAAGTAGCCTTTGCTAGTGCTCTCTGGTCTAAAAGCCATGAGCAAAGCCTTAGACCCTGCCAAGGGTTGAGAGAGGAGGTTGTGGGAAGGATAGGGATGGGATCGGGGGGCAGGCTGCAAGAACACAGACTTGGAAAGCAGTCAGAACTGAGTTTGGGTCCCAGCTCCATTACTAAACTCTTGCATGAGCTTAAGCAGAGGTGTGCCATCATGGGGCTCAGCGTCTCTCTCTACAACGCAAGTGTGACATTAACGCCCACCACAGGGCTGTTGGAAGGAGTCAATGAAATGTCCATGCTCCAGATTGCAATGTTTTATCACATTCTTCCCTATTCCATCTTGTGCGAAAATGACTCCTGGCATATAAGAGGCAAAATTCAAAACCAAAAATTCAAAACATGAAGATCTGACATGCTTCAGGAGTTTTGACATAGTGCTTGCAGAAACTACAACAGAATTGAGAGCAATCTCCAGTACATAATTATGAGCATGCATTGCTAATATCACCAGTTGAAGTTGAGACGTGTTCTACAATAAATTCCTGCAGTTTTTGCATTAGTTATAGTGAGAATAGAGGGTTACTTGTATGTGTTTTCAAAGATTGGCAGAATTTTGGGTGCACTTATGAGCTGATAGAAGGGTTGGATGAGGGATAGAAATGGGAGATGTACAGACCCCACTGTCAAGCAGTTTAGAGCAGACACACCTATGGAAATTGAATGTCAATAAAATGAGAGTGTACACATAAAGAGCGGTGACAGGTGACATTTCAAAGAGGTGACACCAAGGATGAGGAGGCAGCTTCTTGTAGAAAATGAGCAGAACCATTTGTTCACTTATTCAACTAATACTTTTTGGGCACCTGCTATAGACTGCACAATTGTTGGCACTGGGGAAACGACAGTGAATAAAAGAGACAAAATCCTTCCCTAGTTTCTATGCTGGGGCATGGGCAGGAGTTGGGCAGACAGTAAACAAAGTAAATTAGTAAATTAGATCATATGATAAGATGATGCAAAATGCTAAGAAGATGGACAAAGCAGAGAAGGGTCAGGATGGGGGCTGCAACTTCAATTAAAGTGTTCAAGGATGGTCTCATACCTGAGTGAGAACTTTGCAAAAATAGTAGTGTGTGATCTGGGTCATTTCCTGTCCTCTGAAAGCCCCTCCAGAAGCCTGGGTTTGAACCTTCCCTTCAGGGAATGATTTTTTTTTTTTTTTTTTTTTTCACCCAGAGCAAATCCAGTTCTGTTACTGCCAGAAACTCCCTGGGTGACAGGGATTGGACTGGCCTCATGCTATTCTGCACATGGTCCCTGGACCAGCACCATGAGCGTCACCTGGCACCTGGCTGGAAATGCACATTCTCGGGGCCCACTCCAGACCTGCCAAATCAGAATTTGCATTTAAGATGGTCCTTGATATGGTTTGGCTGTGTCCCCACCCAAATCTCATCTTGAATTGTAGCTCCCATAATTCCCACGTGTTGTGGGAGGGACCCAGTGGGAGATAATTGAATCATGGGGGCCGTTTCCCACATACTGTTCTTGTGGTAGTGAATAAGTCTCAAGAGATCTGATGCTTTTATAAGGGGAAACACCTTTCGCTTGATTTTCATTCTCTCTTGTCGCCACCTTTGGGCTTCCACCATGATTGTGAGGCCTCCCCAGCCACATGGAACTATGACTCCATTAAACCTCTTTTTCTTTATAAATTACCCAGTCTCAGGTACGTCTTTATCAGCAGCACGAAAGCAGGCTAATACGGTCCTGGTGATTCTTTTGCACATTAACGTTTGAGAAACACTACTCTAGGTGATCGCCAAATTTCTTTCCTGAGCTACTTTTCATTTTCTAGATGATGGTTCTCAAACTTGAGTGTGCACAAGAATCCCCTGGAGGGTTTATTTAACAAATAGCTTTCTGGGCTGCACTTCTAGACTCTCAGGTTCAATACCTCTGGGGTGGACTCCCAGAATGTCTATTTCTATCAAGTTCCCAGGCCACACTGAGGCTGCTGGCCCTCGGACCCCAGTTTGCAAACCACC